AAATAAAATTGAATAATACTGACCTCTTTACCGCGCTTATCTATTAGAATGCATTGCACTCCATCTTGTACTAATAATTAATGAATCCTTCATACAAACAAATAAATGGTTGTCATTCATTAGCATAACAAATCGATTTTAAGGCAGCTAATCGCATTGGAATGAAGATTTTTCATTAACACAGTACTACTGTAATTTTAATTATTCATTGCAATTATTCATTGCAATATGTAAATTAACATAATTACATTAGCATGAATAACACCAGTAAAGTGATAACACATTAGAGTATTTGCTTTAAAAATGATTTTAAAAGTTCCAGTTTTACTGACAAAGTTTACCTCCCACCTAAAGTAAACGAGTGTAAATTTATTTCTACTAAATGATTGATCGGTTGTTAAACAAACCAAATGTAGGTTTCTATCATAATTTCTTATAACTAATAACTAAAAAGTGACTAATGCTAGCATTCATGGGCTAATTAGCAACAAATTGCCATAGGGTAGTCATGACATTGACCGCAATTATGACTTATCAACTCTTGTGAGTAATATTCTAATACTTTTTAATAGATACGGTATAAAGGTATACATTACAATTCTTTCAAGCAATGGTGCAACGGAATTGAATTACAGTTCAAATTCATCAAGAATAAAACCGATAATAACGTTTTAGGTAGAAATGAATCCAGATTATAGGGCCTCAAATTAAGCTAAAAACGATTCTTTTGAATGAAAAATCGTCAAATAGCGATATAAATGCTAATGCAATAGAATTAGTGCATTAAAATAAAAAAGGTTTTTTCAATTTGTTGTACTGTTACTCTTGAATCATGTGGTTACCTCCTACTCTTAACGTATCAATACGAATAGTTTCCAGAAAGTTGATTTATAAAATGATGGGATCAATTCTAGAATTGATCTTTTAGGTCACAAGTTACAGTAGTACTGTAGAATAAAGATTACATTAAGAGAAGATGAAATATTACACGTTGCAAATCAAAACTGATACGATCAAGCTTGAACTAATCTATTACATGGTTAATTAAAACGATAATTAAATGATTGTACATAATAAAATTACTTCTATCTTAAAATTAAATAGACTGTATTTAAACTGTGAAATAGATCGCGTTATCATCAACATCGCTGGTAATATCTGAGGACAAATACGAATTGATATGATAATGAAACGAATGAGTCATCTGTGTATCATCAAGTTATAATAAAGCGTGCAAGATGGATAGAATTAATTACTTGTATTATTTAAAATTTTAAATTTCTAATTAATTACAGATCTCATTAAGTCAATTCTCGTCGATCTTTAATTCAACATAATACCAGTGTAATGAAGAGGATATTAAATCAACCCTTCAGGGCTTTCAATCTATTCTAACTAATAAATAGAATTTCAACTTGACAAATTGCAATATAAAAAGCCTTGATCTGACTAATACTATCCACATAGTACAATGTCATTGCAAATATAATTATATTATTAATATGTTGTTCAACTAAATAATAATCAATACGTTTTTTACAGTGTATTAAATGATTTTAAGCTCATTGTATTTGATAAAATAATATGCTACTTCGAGGTTATTTTATTGCTTTCTTAATAATAGTATCGTCACTATTATTACTATCTAGTTGTCTACATCATTAATTTTATTACTTAGATCTGATATCTATGCCAACTTTTTAATAACTGTATCAACTATCTGTCAAAGCATGCACGATCATTTGTTAGATTGACATAAATTTCTATTGAGATTAATTGGTGATAATAATATACCCGTATATAACACTAATGAGACGAATAAGTTATGTAGTATATGTTCCTAAACTGATAATACAACTTTAATTACTATACAATCTTAATTAAGAATAAAGAATAGGACTGTCAATAGAACTACTAGCTCTACAATTAAGCTATAGTGTATTCAATATAAGTAGCTATTTCTCGATAAAAATACTAATAAATCTTAATTATGGTTTGCATTATCATTTTAGCGTCGCATCATAGTAGTATAAGTTGTTGCATTTTCTGAGTTTCTAATAACTATATTATTTTTTAATCATTCTATACTGATAAATATAGATTTTAATCTTGTCCAAAAATATGATTAAGTGCCATTGAAGGGGTAATCTAGTGTTATACACAGCTGCCTTTGGAAGGTAGTAACGGTATTTGATTTAGATAGCTCGTACTTCTCAATGTAATGCTTTAATGCCATTGTGAAATCTTTATTCATCTCTAACATGGCAATTCTTTTGTCTTTTTGAACCTAAATTGTGAAGTTTATTTAAATCTGCATCATTAAGGTACAGCAACGTGACGAAATAATATCATCGTCGTTATAATAGCTTTGATATAACTATGTTGAAGAAAGTGGTTCAAGGTCACAACTGGAAATACTTGTACATAAGGCATTTTAATTTCACTGATTTATATTTACTATACTTTCAGCTTTAAATAAGAAGCATTGTATTTCGATGACTCATTCGTAAGAACTCAACCGAATTTATTGTAGCACTGCATATCTAGTCCAATTAAGATACCAATACAATAATGTAAAGTAGAAATGATGAAATTTTAAACCGCCATACAAGAATACTTTTGTATTGCCACGGATAACTTCAAGGTTGCTCGTTACTCTCGTGCACAGTACTATAATTTATTTACGGTAAAATTTTGCAATTTATTTTATCATTTTAAATATAAATAATTAGTCGATAGCCTACTTAGCCTCATTTTAAGATCAATGAATCATATGATGTATCTTGAGACTGGATACAAATAAGATATTATTCATATTCAGGTCGTATTTGCAGGGTAGTTACGTACGATCTCATAGCTATAACAATCCCAACAGCAGATGATTTATTGTTGTGGTTCAGAATAGTATAACTTGTTGTATGCTACCTGCAACGATGTCAATAAAGATGTCTAAAAGGAAATCCATTTCAAACGATTCATTATAGCTAATTAGGCCATCGAGCAGTATATACAGATAAAAGAAAGTAAATAGTTGGTTACAGTACAAGATAAGTTACAATTCCAAGCTTGATGTTGGAATCAAGTGCACACCGCCATGCTGCAGTATAGCATCGTCTACAGTACTGTAACTGTGTAATGTCTGCATCGATCGTGTACTGTATGCATCTGGACTACAAATTTACCTAATATTAGATCTTATGATCTTCGTTCATTTAAGTTTTGCGATTTATGTTCCCACTGTGCACAGCACGGCGTTCTAGCATTTGTGATCATCATCATGACCTACAGTAACTAATAACTAACTATACTAGAAGAAGACCTGGACTGAACACTCTTGGACGGACAAACATTTTAGGCCTCATCTCGTCCAACTATTATGCCAAAAACATCGTTATGGCAGTACTTTACTATGCAGGCGGTCGATTTTGAATTGGTTAATGTTTTCTAAATGAAGTCATATTGCATTGAATTTTACTCGTATTATCTGTTACAAGTTTCTGCTTGAAAACACTTCTATAAACTGTCCTTGACTGTCCTTGACGAAGACAAAAATACAGGATTTGACTAGAGTCCTTATGGGAGTCCTGGAAAAAGTTCATCGTGTGAACGTACCTTTATTATAGACTACCTTCCACGGACGTTTTTAAATATTGTAATAAAAGTAGATTTTTATCAGAAGTTTTCCTAGGTCTAGGTCTAACTTTATTATCATTAATGGGAATGATCAATCCATGTCTTCTTCTAGTAGTCCATGCTGATCCACGACTTCTTGATAAAATAATGTTCTCTTATAATTTACTATCGAGAAGTCCGTGTCATCATACCGTATACTATGCACAGTATAGTACAGGAATCACATAGTGAAATGCGCAAGACTCGCTGAAAAGGCTTACAGTACTGCATACTGTACTCAGTGTACTGTACACTGTACTCAACGTACTGTACATTGTAGTAGCACTTACGTTGCCTTTTAAGGATATGTCTTTGCGCAAGTCCTCTCTCGGCCTTTTCCACGCTCGATCCTGGTTAAGAACGTAGTCCAAAATCGAAAAATCATGGTAAGAATCTGAAAGATATCGCTTGCATCCCTTTTAGTTCTCGAATAGAACCCAATTCTTAATGTAAAATAGGCAATCTTTTTGTGTTTTCGTCATCTTATGTGTAAATTAGCGATTGAGATGCTTGGAAACATTAGATTATCGATGTAAAGTGTAGATAGATTTCTGGAAATTTCAACATGGCGTCTGCTAACAATCCGCCTATACAGATGTAACAAAACCAAAATGTTACATCTCGATGGAATCAGTCTACTATGGAGATGACTGGTAGTTCTTTTTTTACTTACGGTACTTTATTTTATACTATCAGAGATTCAATAGAGGATTACACAACTACTTTGCTATTCAAACGCGTATCTGCATAGTTATTGGCGTGAACGACTTTAAAGCACCAACTGTAAAGCACTAAGCTTGATTAGATGATCTTATTCAGGAGATTTTGAATTTTTAATCTTAACTGACGTATAGTTAAACCAGCTTACCTTTATTTCATAATACACATTAGCCGGCTAGTAACTAAAATACTGATAATCTTGTTTCAGTTTCTACACATCCTACTGTCAATACATTTGCAGTAGGTTGAATTTTGAAGGAGTATACATCGTCCTTTGTAATGTACCATAGTTTCCAGATATTCACAACACGTATACATTACTTCTGCGTTTGAAGTTCTGCCCCATAAGGATAACAATGTGAAATTCGATAATTATGTCATGTAAATGATAATATTCGTCGTACCGCAAACTGTATCTCTAGCATAATTATATAAAGCTTAAACCGATTGGCTTTGTTGGTTGTTCCCTCGTTCCTTTGCCAACACTGATTACTCTGCTGTTTTAGCTTGATTCTTAATCCACACTATGCAACAAGTTAGGCTGATTGTAAAATAAATGATGTATATGAAGGCTAAAATGTTTGTTCGTCTTTCTACTAACTTAGTCGTCACACAAATCGTTCATTATCAAACGGAAATTGGCTAAAAAGATGAAGCAAAACAGGCCAGTCCCTCAGTGGATCCGATTAAGAACTAATAACAAAATTCGGTATGTTGGTGAACTGAATGCAATCAGACTCGTATAGTTGATTATTAATCGTAAAGGTTATAATCCTTGTTATTAGTATATGGATGTGCATCATATATAGAGATTAAGTCCATTAATTTACCGCTTAACCAATGACGATATCTACTAGCGAAACCTACATAAGTAGATAACCAAGTTATTTATTCGAATTTATTGACTTTCAACTTTATAGCTACAACACGAAGCGAAGACATTGGCGCCGTACCAAATTAGGATTGTAAGAACTTTCTCTGGAAACATTGATCTTCTAAAATATGTGGATTCATCCTGTAAAATAGAATGGACAAACTGAAAAAATCCTATAGTGATTGTCCTTACGGCCTGTTCGTACTTTGTAATTGGGATTTAGAATAAAATTTCCATTGCAGTTAACAAATCTTTGAGATGTTTATACTTAATTTGCTGGTTAAAATTCTGTTTGTAACCTTGCTATAGACTTTGATATACTTTAGCGTCTTAAGTCTCCTTCTGTAGCATGTCTTGAATAATGTAGCTTCCACGTAAACAAAGAGGTTGTAGCTGTTAGATTCCTAAAACTAAAATTGTATGTACTGTAAGGACAGGCATAACAATGTACGGTAGACTGCATAAGGTAACTCCGAACACAAAATATAGCAAAGCATAAAGCGATTAGATCAATACAGGTTATGTGGAAAAATTACAAAACGAAGGAAATGATAAATTACAAGTCCAACGTCGTTCTTATTCGATCTTGATATCTTTTATATTATGTGGCAACAACCTAGCTGGTAGATTTCTATGGTCATAAAGCTTGATAGCCTTCAACCAATACTCGTATTAGTAATGAATTATCAGCATTGCACGAACAGGTATTTTCAGCCACCATGATCAACACAGATTAAGATAAAGATCACTTGACGATAATCTGACTACATTGGTAGCAGTGATGTTGAAAATTATATACTTGAATATACCCTAACCTGCTGACGTATGATTGTCTAATTCATGTTATTATAAATTATAACCTTAGAGTTCTGTAAGTATTAGATTTCTACGCTAATAACTATGATTATAACAGTCTATCGGTCAATTCGACTAGGTCTCCTTACGTACCGGCATAAAAATTAAAAATTACGAGAGTGATAAATAGAATGACATGCTCTTATATCGTTGCAGAATCTCTGAAAACGAACTGTCAGTATGGTTAGGTTGGTTCATTAATTTACGAGCGCATTTGCATGCGTATAGTGTCATTAAATCGCTTCGAAAATTACAAATGTAGAGAAAACTACATAACTGTTAATTTATCATAAATACTGCACTTGAACTACTGTGCGATGCTAACGTTTCGGCGATATATTAAGTAAAGCCAGTTAATTATCTCCTAGAGTGTACACTAGAGACTCTAATAAGGTCCAGGACTTCTAGTGTATACTTTGCAAGGATTTACGATGCTTCCTGGGCAGTAATAAAATTGTGGTAATTATAATCAAGAAACATTCCATTGCACGATCTTTACTAATTAATTAAAGGGTGCTATTAAAAAATAAACTCAAAGAGGCAGCCAGTGTTAAAATAATTAATATATAGTAAAATCAATTTCTAGAACCGGCATAAAATTATAGATTTAACCTTAGTTAAGCCTAGGCTGCAATTTATACGGTATTTAGCAATACTTGAGTCTACTCAGCTCTAACTTAAGTTAAGATGGTATATCCACGATTAACAACACGACAGCAACATTATACGTATATTCTACCTGAGATTAGAAATACTATGCGATTAGGATTCCGTGAGTTTCAATGAGCTAACTCAAGCGTGTTCATATCGATGTTTCATGACTAATTATTATTTATGTGTATTAGTTAAGCTTAGAAGCATCAACCCTTATTTAAGAAGACACTATAAGGCGTAATTCTATAAGTAAATGAGCTGACGATATGGAGTTAACAGACTCTGAGTCACAATCAGAGGACAATGCCTTGGAAGATGTATTCGGAAGTAATCAACAAAGTACTGATATCAACCCTTTTGATAAGAATAATGTGCGACTTCGAATCTTAAAATGTGCAGCTAAACATGGCAACTGGGTCGCATTAGCATCACGATTAGGAATTAAATATAAAACCGCATATAGTTGGATAAGAGGTAGAAGACATAACTGTCCACCTCCTCGAAGAGGAGCTTACAAACTCCTCTCATCCGATGATATCGACACATTAATTCGATGGATAGAAGATGATCCAACATTAACTCTAAAACAAATTCGGGAAAGAATTTTTCGTGAATTTGATGGAATGGATATTAGTGTCAACACAATTTCAAGCTATCTCTTAGAGCGCCAAATATCCATAAAGACGTATGAACCAAATTTACTAAGCATAGGTAAAGAAGACACTCAAGAAGCGCGTTGCAAATATATTAATCGGATTACAACAGCAGTGCAATCAGGTAAAAGCATCATCTGGATAGCAGAAATCAGTTTTAGTATCTGCTGCAATAGCACTCAAGAGGTTGAGATTGAAATTAGGAATCCTGTCCCTTTACCTAGTAGCAAGAATCCAAATGTTCACCTGATCGTTGCCATGGCCGACAATGGTATTATTAAGATTACGAAAAAGAAACAGTATTTCAAAGAGCAAAATCTGAATTATTGGATAGTAAGATTATTGAAAAACCTTAAATCTCAAGGAATGTCACTCGATAACGTGGTGTTAATTTGCGATCTTCCCAAATCGCGTCAATCTAGTCTTCAATTAAAGATTTTTGACATAAATCCTCAGATAAAACTATTTCGGTTAGGGCCTTACGCATCATTATTAAATCCAGCTGAAATGTTATGGTCTAAAATAAAGGCATTTATTAAAGCCAATCTTCGTAAATGTATGATGACTCGAACCATTAGTCGCGAACAACGCTTCGTATACCTTCAAAACTTTATCCATAATGCCATCGTTTCCTTGACAGATAGCGATATTCAAAAAGCCTCACAACGTATGACCAATTTCCAAGTGTGATTTCATGGACTGAAAATCGTTATTGCACTTTACAAATCCAAAACCTAACGAGCAATGAAGAATAATCAGCAAATTTCTGAACTTCTTCATAAACTTTCCATCTTCTTGGCCAGTATGAATGGAATTAAGAGCACTTTTAAGCGTAAAGAAGCTCATAACGTGCCTTTTCTTCAACTACAAGTTAATGTTAAATCAATAACTTATGTCCTAATTCAGAACGAAGAATTACTTTCTCACTGTCATCTTTTCTTCATGATACCTTCCATTGCCTCGATGGATAGTAATCATGGTGTAGCTATGTGATAAAGTGTCTTCTCAATAATGAAGCAAGAACTACAGTTTCTTGTAAATTTCTTTTTATTACATAAGTTATGTTCGTCTAATAACTATCAAGGACTATCTAGATGCAACCAGGCTATCTCTAAACTATCGAAATTACTACATCAATATTCACGATTTATATATAATTCTATTATCTCGTATACAATTCATCTATTTTCGTACGCTCTAACAATCTTAGTCTTAAGATCTATCCGTGGCTGTACTACAAACTATAAATACTAAATACAGTATTTCATGGTTTATAATTTATTCTGTTGTGATTTAATGATCTACTAATTATAGTATTAGTGAACTTGTATGTAAAAATTTTTGAATAAGAATGGTGTATTTTCTGTTAATGAAACGATAACAGATGTATTCATAATTATTGAAAGTTAGGCGACTGATTTTGTGAAATCTTGAAAAAGTAAGCCTTTAATCATAAATTCTCTAGCAATCTTAAATCTAATTTACAGCTAAGATACACATATCATAGCTAGTATAATTTCACTAAAAAGAGAATAAATTTTTGCCTTTTTCGATAACCATTGCTGCTAAAAAATATATCAATTTTAATGTCACTGCCATATCATAGCGTTTTTACAAGGAATATAACATAAAGAATATTTCCAGAACGTAGCCTGTATTTGTAATTATTTTACTCTTTCCAATATTATTGAATAAACACTGTTTGCGGATAGCTATAACAACGGTATTACTTTCATCAAATAACATCCTATACTAATTTTAACTGATATGATAATTGATTGAAGGGAATTAAATAAACTTTATTGATCTGATTAACAAAACTATTATCATTTTGAATTTTAGCTCACTCAAATCTGAATCTATAAATTACATATACAATTGAAAGCAAATCAGTAAAATTATAAGTATCTTGATATAAACTGATAACCCCTATTATAGCCATTTTTTTAATTACTTGAAAATTATTAAGTGCCTTGCGGGATTGCTTAAAGGAAAAGCTTTCAAATTGAAGTCTAGCAATCTCTTAGCTATGCATACAATCGACCGATAAACTAGTGTACTACCCCACTCGCCTACATTCGTATACACGTAAACGATAAGTTAACTTTACTGAACCTATAATTTTACAAAGTAATAGCTAAGCAAACTTGACTTGATATATACACAAACAAAAGTATTTAATAAGATTAATATATAACGTAATAATCCAGTTGTTCTTTATTAAAAGTCTTCCAACTTGACAACAAGATCCTGGAAATCAAAGTTCAAATCCATTGTGGTCACGACTGAGCAATGTTAGAATGAATTGAAAACTATAAATATATTGCAGGAATACAGTCCTAAAATGGAAGTGTAATCAATAACGCATTGCTAAAAATATTATCAAATGAATTAATTTTGGAGAATAATAAAATTGGTAACACAAATATTGGAAGAATTTAACAGCAGTTTACGTAACCTTTGAAATAGGGACCCGAACCCTATCACCCTAATTATCAAATTCGACCTTCATTGATGAAGCAATTACTCTTACGTTCTTTACATTCTTCCTATGTGTCATGAACGCATGCTAGTAAAGAAGCCATAATAAACATAGTTTTTTATTACTGAGATATAGCACAGTTAAACAACTCTCGATAATTATTGTTAAATTTAACTCAATTTCACTTTTCTGTGATCTCGTAAGGTAAATAATATTAATAAATCGATGGATAAAACTTTAAACGCTACAGTGGGAGTGCAAGCAGGTCCCAGTATTTGTATCACGTTTGATGAGTAAATTTAATGGATATGATTAAATTCTCTATTCTCTACTTCAATACTCAGCTTGAAATCCAATTACATATAACTAAGCTGCAATGTAATTTTGATAAAATGATATACCTTATCGTGACAATTTTATGAATTCGAATAGGCCGGTAACTAGTAATAAAAAAGACGAAATACTATTATTTAGATAAGAAGTAACGTTAGAAATAAAATTCAGCTAGCTTTCTGGACTCTGTAATATTAAACTACATTTTTACGCGTAAAACTATATATATACTGCATTGAGATAGAAATCTAGTAAAGTTAAACAGCGAAAATAAGTACCGTGCAAGAGAATTTTATAAATTCATTGAATAGCTTATGTATAGTAAAATTCTAACATGATAAAATAATAAATAATTATCCTAATTACAAAAGATATTTTCAATTTGATGCTTACGTGTCCGACGTAACAATTACCAAAGGGATTAGCGAATTACTTAGATGGAATATTTATTAAATCAGCTTTCTTGTCAAGATCCTTTAGAAAAATGGAATAGCGATTGATAATTTAACATATATAAGAAGATATTTACACAGTCGAACAGAAAATAAATCAATTAATCACTTAAACCTTTTTAAAGTAAGAATAATATAATGATTATAGAACCTTATAACATTTAAATTATTTACAAGATCGATCCACATTGTACCTGATATTTAGACACCTTTGTTTTATTTCCTCTTACTTTATGAGGCTTGGAATTTATTTTCCTGTTAACATTATTTATCATAATTTCTATCGCATTCATGACGAACCATTAATTATTTCACCCAAAAACTCGATTGTATCTTCTATTTGTTGTGAAAAGAAAGTAACCATAATTGTCATCAAAATATTGAAATTCGAATAACATTCTTGGTAGTCATGGATGTTGTTGTTAGAGTAATATAACGGCAATTTATGTCACTATATATTTTTCTGAAGCAAGACTTTGTAGAAACAAATAAAATACGTCAATGATAAGTCAATATCCAGTTAAAGCGACAAAAGACAGATTCAACTATTATATCAATTGGTTGCAGCAATATGCAAAATAAATCAGATAAGCGTGCCTTTGAGTTCTATTCAGACAAAACTGTAAATACAACTTCTCAACTCCGTTCTAATTTATTATTTAGTACGACGTATTATCATTCTTTTCAAAGAACTATCAGTATTACAGATTAATTGGTATATCAAATTAATGAATAAGATTTGGATGTACCGCTTCTAATTCTCAATTTCATCTACACTCATCTATAAGTGGGAAGATCCCTAGAAAAGGATTAAAGAGTAACAACAGACTTTTACATCTCCTCAAGCTAAGAATTTACTAACATTTTCTCTCTATCGATTTAAGTACAGTTAAAATCAACTTGAAAACTTCGTAGGTTAATAAATCGATTTGTGAGCAAGTTTTAAATTTTCTACTGAAGAATCCTACTTTAAAACTGCTATTGTAGAACTCAGCAATAAAACTATTAGTAATTAAACTATTTTTCGCTATTCGTATGTGGATCACTAGTTAGTATACAGAATTTTGCATTTAATTATCAGTAAAGATAATACGTGGTTATTAATTAACAGAAGACGGTTGGTTAAATACCTGGCTAAAAGATATAGAAATCGAAAACCCATGGATCTCGCGATGAAAATACCAGTATTCTTATCAATGTTATATATCGTTACTATCACGGCAAAAATATCAAGTGCTAATGGTTATCGAACAGTCTTTGTGAACCTAGATGGTAAGACTTTAAATAAAATGAAATTTGTCAAAAATGATGTACCGATTCAAGTAGATGCAGAAACTAGGCATAACATAACCAGTAAATGGCTAAAATTACGATTTAAGCAAATAGGAACATCGGGCAATAAAATGTCCAAACTATCCATGAAATCTCTTAATCAAGACTCTTTCACAAAAATTCAATCATCAAGTAATCACAGAATACATCGTCGAGCGATTAACACTGAGGCAAATGTTAGGGATCATTGCCAATTAAGAGAGATAAAATATCAAGCGTATCGTTGGATCAATACTTCTCATATTTTTTTACTAAATGATGATACAAGTAGAGCATTCAAAGTTGCCCAAATAACGGAGATATCAGGAAACAATAAAAGTAACGTGCATATAAGAATCTGTACAGAAGTTATTGATAATAGATGGAATGAGACTTTAAGAGTTTTAAATTATATTACACCAACACTAGAATTATTTTGCTACACACCAGTAATCATATTGCATATTGTAATATCTCGGCTAAATGAACGGTTCGATTACTTTTTCTTAAGTACATTACTTGGCACGATTGGTTACAAAATATTGAGACTAGCTGGCTCAATACTGCAGCATATTCGACCTTCTTTATTACCTGAATGCCAAGTATTGGCTACATTTAGGCATTATTTTCTAACCGTATCCTATGCATCAATGATTGTGGTAGTCTTTGATATTTATTTCTATTTCTCTTGTCATACTCCTCCTTCTTCAGAAGGTTTATTAAAAATCTATTACATCTGTTTTGCATGGCTAATTCCAGCGATGCTATCAATAACGTTGTTTTCGATCAAGTATGTCGACAATTCGTATGATATTTTAGACGGTACCCCACGGTGTGATATTACTGAAACTTGGGCTCGTATGGCCTTTGTTATCATTCCATGCGTTATTACATTTTTAATTACCATCTTGTTTCCGTTTTTTGCAAAGAAAGTTATCAGATCTCGAAGACTAAAGTATCGAAGAGCATCGGAAGATAAGAAGCTAATTGCTAGAAAGTACAATTGCATCATTAAATATACCATCTTTGTTATGATTATTTTGGCTGCCAATTTAGTCAACGACACAACAGAAGTCAGTATTGCAACTCATCAACGAATAGTTCAATTGCACGTTTTTGCTCGCGTTGCTGATATTTTATGTGCCATATTCAGTGTAATTGTCATGGCTGTAATGTTTTTTAAATGGTTAAAAGTAATGAACAGCTTTGCCAATCGTAGGCAAGACCTCAATCAACTTATGAATCATAATCAACAATAATATCATACTTTATAGAATAGTAATAAGATGGCTTTTACTAATTTAAATCAATAAATATTTCATCTACTGTATACCTAGCGATATTTCTGGTGTTTATTCGATTTATTTCCTTCAATAAAGTTATATCTTTCAATACTGATAGATATAAAATATTTTGTAGGCCGCGTCCAAGCGTAGGGAAAGACGTCTTGAAGGAGACATAAATTAAGACATAAACAGAATAAGCGACTATGTATAGTATTATTTATTACTTATTAGTCAATCTGCTACTTTTATATCTGTATTGTAAATTCATTACTTCTCAGTAAATAACTTTATTAAGTTGAGGGGAAAAAGCTGTCCAAATGTAGTACTTATTCCTTCAAGTTGGTTATGATAAGATCTCTATGTATGTGAGAAAAAATATTGAACAATCCAGTCCAAACAATGATTGGACTAGCTAAATTTAGTCTTTCCTCAATTAAATTCTGTAGTAATCCATCCCGTATGAAATGGGAATGTATATCTGCTTACGCTACGTATATTTATACAATTTACCGCTGCTTAGGTTAGTTTACATTAATCTCTGCATAACAATCATCAATCGTACAAGAATACATACATTACTGCAATATAATGTATATATATATATATATATTAATTGATTAATTAATTCGTCAGTAAAACGAAGAATTATTATAATCAGCAATTAATACAGAATAAAAGGCGATAGCAAAGAAATGATATAAGAATAAAAGGATATAATGTCATGTCGATCTAAAAAATGGCACGTTTCAAATTTCATAACATTGTCTCACTGATTTCGGGAATAGATAACTGGCTGAATACTAGTCAATAGCGAGAATATATGACCAATAACGATGAAATGAAAAGTTATAGTTTAACTCGATAGCACAACTATAGTACTGTATATATAATGCATTGATTTCATGATAGAATAATGAACTAGTGCTATAAAGCAAGTCCAGTAATAAATACTAGGATCAATCACTTTCGATACGCTATCTGATTTAGCCATCGAATTATCGATTTTATACGTACTAATTTCCAAGAAAGACGAGTTCAATGAATGACATATAATACCTAGCATTCAATAAAATGCAGACTGAAATCATAGATGAATAATCAATTAAGACTACAATGATATCATAATATAATAAAGACGAAAATAATTTATTTATTTTATTTTAATTAAGAAAATAGGCATTTTCAACGAGTTATGGGTGTTTAATACATAATATTCTAAACGAAGGATTTATCGAGATACAATCCTGAATTTTCTATTGAAATTTTGTAATAAAACTATTAAATTTGTTACGACGCCTGCTAATCAATTATATAATTGTCATTGTAATATAGGACAAAATCATTAAAAAAATAAATAAAACAGAGTTAGGAAATGTTTGAAGGGGCGATTGTACAATTCATGATAAAATTGTACTCTGTTGCCGATGATTGGCATCACTAATTAGAATAGTTTATAAATATAAGCCTACTACCTGGATATGCCCAGTCGGTATGTTAAGTTACAGTACGCATCCTTTAGTCTGGGTCATTCACGTAGGATTATTTCAAAGTTGAGTAATAAAATTCGAAATTGATCTCTTTGAAAGTCAATACTGATGTCTGTAATCATATTCAATACTAATATCAAGAAAGAGAGTAAAGAACATGGATAAAATATAGCAGAGCTGACGCGCATATAGGAGGACTTTTATACATACTGCCATAAAATAATCACCTTGCAAGATGAGATACTGTTCAGTAATGACTAATCTCGAGAGCATATGCTTCCATGGCAATGGCACAATTTAGAGCGTTGTGTTTTGATCTATTGACATTCTATAACGACAGATTCTCTATTTCCTTTCATAGGCCCCCCAATAAGGAAATAATATTGGGCTGTCATGGTGACTTCTTAAAAATGCTGCTGACCTATGAAATAAATCAGCAGTATATATCGTTTTGTTCAAGTAATTATAATATCTGAGACCCAGTGAATCTACTAAAAGGAGTGTAACCCGAACTAGAACCACTGCAATCTGTATGCATTCTCCTCACTTGTATCGAAGTTCAAAGGCTAGATATTTTTACCGAGAAGTTACTGGGGATATCACACTTCTGTAATACAAAAACTTATTTTGCCTTACTGCAATGAATTCATTTTCAACAATTCACGTATCTAATTAAAAAGATACAATGCTCATTAAACAAAAACAGACACATCGATTAAGCGCTTTGCATACGATATAGTGCCCGATTGCAATTGCAGTGCAGTATTAAAGTGTATCATGGTTTAGACTTCCGTAAATAGGAGGCAGCTGGTAGAAGGGAAGTTACGCCACATGATAGTAACAGAAAAATCGCCATTAATCTCAGCGTTTATTACGGTATTTCGTAGCAAAATATTCCATCCTATTAAGAGTAGCAGTACGTCGTTATTAACCATGACCATTCGATTCGAAAAATCTGTCATTATTGTGATATTTAATAAAAACTATACAGCGATACTAATTATTCAATTTAATTAATAAATATACTGTCTAGAGTAAATTCATCAATTGATGAATACTGTATAGTACGTTTCATGCATGTCCTGCGATGGTGCAGTTTGTAGAATAACAATTTCATAAAGTTACTTATTGCATATACCTATTGTCAATCAACTAATTGAATTTAACGATTTTCCTTGATGATATTCTCTATAATAGGTATCACAAGAATCGTCATCATTTTGATATCTCTACTTGAATAATTTGATAAAAATTAAATTGGATTTTTATTTTTTATCCAAATACGATTCCAATTATAATTGAATATTTGGGCAATATTCTCTTGCTACGTTAATAAAGGTTTACAACTTTACGAGCAGAAGAAAGAGACTTGAATAGAAAATGGCCGCCAACAAACACTTCAATTTATTATTCTTTTGCATAACCATACTCTTAATTTCGGATTCTTTGTCGACAAATAAAATAAGAGTATCTATTTCTGAAGGTAAAGGATGTTTTTCCCTGCACTGTTTCTAACAATTAGAATTCAGTGATTTTATTTTGATGTCTTGCGTTGATTAAAATATTCACTGTAGTACAGAATTGAGCAATATTTGCAGAAGTTCCTGGTAATACGAAATTTGCTGTATTTTCGTACGCTTTTTATTGACTATTTGTAATAGATGGTAATCGCAACATCATTTTTTCTTGTCACTCCTATCCTAAAGAAAGCATTGCGCTTAAAGATGCGCGTCTACAGTAGATGTTAGGAGAATTTAAATCTCTCATTTCTAATATTTTAGATCCTGACTTCGTTCCAGACCGGAGCCAGTTGGGCAAAAGAACAGTTGTAACGGAAATGATCCAAAAACGATCATCGCGACGTTCATGCAGATCAATAGACACAATATTGTCCTGCTCTAATGACGATCAGGATACAAAGGCATTTCCTGGTCTATGTCATTGCGATTCAGAATGTATTCTATATGGAGATTGCTGTATGAATTATAAAAATCCTTGTCCAGAGACTAATGTAAGTCTTGTGACTACGACAAATCGGTCTTGCAAAAAAGTTCAGATGACAAATTGGATAAAGCAACGATTGCCAGCTAGACAGAATAAAACGTTGGTTAGTTTATATAACTATCGTTGTCTAAAAGGCTCTTTGGTCGTTACAAAATGCCCTTCGCATTGGAGCGATAGTTACTATCGCAATAAATGTGAGAATATATCAGATACATTCAACTTTTATAGTCATGTACCTGTTGTCCATAATACAACCAATATCGCCTATAGAAACATTTACTGTGCTCTTTGCCATCGAGTTAATGTAACAAATTTACAAGATATCCGCTTTTGGAGCATTGCTATAAAATGTAATTTATCGGAAAATGCTATTGAGTTTTGGAGTTTACAGAGTGATGGTCTATGGAAATATTGCTCATTGATATCGTTGATTAATTATAATGATACGACATCGGCTCCGCGTAGAAAGTGTCGTCTAGAAATGGGTAATGAAATGATCTCTACATGTTTATCTGATCCAAAATCTCTGAAGATGAATCAAAGTTTTTTTCAAGCAATTCGAGACGGCTGCCAAAGCTATATCGCACCAATCGTTTCTGGCGGACAATTATACCACAATCCGTTTTGTTTAATGTGTAGTACAACAGCTATCCATCTTAATGTTAGTTGTCTGATTAGATCACCGCTTCCACCTCAAATGGGTACTCTTGCATTCGGGGAAGGCTTCATAACAGATCTGGCAAATCCCGTGTACTATGACCTACATTATAATCCACTCACGAGCACGATTACTTATCGAAAGTTTAGAGGCAATATGAAAGACAGTTTTACGCTTACAATATTGCTCTTTTGTGAAGTAGGAATGTTGTATAATCCTTGGACAAACCAATGCCAAAATGTGTTCCCAAAACCTATCGCTATATTATTGCATCAAGAGAATAAGACTGATCCATACAAAAATTCAACCAATAATAATAGTAGTAATTTTGAAAACACTATGCAAAATCGAACTTGTCATCTTACCTATGGAAATGCAAATACTACTGCTTATTTCAACGCTACTCATGTTGTTTTTCTACCTACCAATAAGACTTTCTTAGCTGCAAGATTACCAAATCACAATAACCATTTTTCCTTTTATAACTGTACTACCAATAGCAGTAGTGCGTTAGTCAATCAGACGTTAAGTACTGTTGTCTTATCCTCAGCTTTATATTATTCACCTGCTGTAATGTCTATCGTTGCATTTATGTTGCAAATTTATTTTCATTTTCACAAGAGGTTAATTTGCCGATGGTGTATAGCATGTTGGTCACTTACAGTTATGTTGTTAGAGATTTCTATCATCATTAATCAATCGATACAGTCAACTCCATCTGCAATATCCTCGATCGATTGCGATATACTATTAGCCGTCCATCACTTTCTTGAACTTTCCACATGTCTTTGGACTGTTGCGATAAGTAAGGATGTCTATTACCGCAGTCGCCATGATGATTTTTTACATCATTCATCCTTTCCTTGCAATATATTTTGCTTCTCCCTTATGGCTTGGCTATTGCCTGGTGCAGCGGTTGGATGTTTCATAACTATCAATAAATATAGTTTAGGACTAACGTATGGTAACCATACTCATTGCCATCTCCAAGACGCTACCATTCTGGTATGGTATTCTTGCGTACCCTATTGCATCCTTGCAAGTGTCTGCCTTTTAATCTATATCGCGGCATTGCTATCAAGAGTGCAACATCATCGTCAAAGCAATAAGAATGATCGTCGCCTCAATGATGATTCTACGTGTGGGTACACGACCGATCAAGATCAATTCAGTGAATATCAAAAAATTTTATTCTTGATGCTTATGTCCACGGTTGTTAACTCCAATCTCATTGTACGCAGTATTGCAACTATGGCCACAACTACCCTATCGTATATGCAATATATCAGCATTAGTGTTCATTTTCTTCAGGGATTGATTGTCGGTTGTGTTTCATTTGTTGTATGACTATTTTAGACAAGTATTTGCTTTCAACAGTTTATCATGCATGTATTGATTGAATTTCAATGTTGGTAAGTTTTCAACTGTTTCACTTAACATGGTAATCTTCTTAGGTGTTGGCCTGGTGTTAAAACATGAGCCATTAGCGTTAATTATCTGTGGCGTAGCGCATTTCTTGAATAGCGTTCTTTCTTTGAACCTTCATTCACTTCATTAAATACTGTAAAGTGTCAACCTAGTCTATCGGATATCTGTAACATTTGATGCATGTACACTGAGCTAATGTTCAACGATAGTATGAAAGTATTTTGTTATTGCAAACAGCCCTGTCCTGCCCAGTGCCATGGACTACAAAAAGAAATACCTATAGAGCAATTCGCTGGTAGCGTATTTCTTTGATAGTCCATGACTGTGATGAACATTGTCTGGATCAACGCTCGATTGCAATATCGATTGATTTTTACTGACGTCTGCTTAAATTCATATTGAGTAGTCTCATTTTAAACTTTTGCACGTTTGTATGCATCCATTTGGCTGGCCCAGAAGCCAAAGGCATTTGCGATCTACTGCACATCCATCGCTTGCTTGGCATGATTCACTTAATATCCATGATTGCTAATGATAGCTAGTTAGATCCATCTTGGCACCAATTGCGACAAGCCGTTGCGCTCATCCACAACCGCTATACAGTAGAGTCGAATCCGCCACGCCTGTCCATCACTCTAGCATACTGTACTATACTGTACGTACAGTACGTAGATGCACTCATACTGTAGAGTATCGGGTAGTCCGTAACAACCTCGGACACGTTACCGTATCGGCTCGTCGTTACAGCCTGTTACCATGTGAGCCGATACGCTGACGTAAACACCAGTGTTGACCGTTGAAATTTCACTCATAAAAAGCTTGACGCTAGAGGACGCTGAAACGGATCGCAACCACCCACGTCCCAATGACGAACCACTGACGCATGTCACTCAACAACCAACTTTCTTCATCACTCCATGTCAACAACAAGTCTGCAAAGATGATTGCAGCTGATAAACTACCATGACCTAAAACTAGTACTACTGTAGTACTTGCTACCGGGATCAGCATTAATCAACAGCTCTACGACTTCTAGATACTGTACATAGATATCCTTCCATGTGTCAATGGATGTTATTCATTGGGTGCTTGCCTGCTCATGGGCTAGCATCGCTGCATCTGTCGAAAGAAGTGTCGATGTTGATCTCCGTTGCTAAAACTTGTATGTCTATATTTCATCTCGACAAGCTGATAAAGGCTGTGATTGATTTCTTTCAAGTTTAGCCGACAGTCCATTTTCAACAAAATGATCAATAGTATCCAGCATTTGGTAATGATATTTTACTACCTACTGTACAGCATTGCTGAAACTGCAATACTGGAGGTAGTAAAATGTATGATGGCAAAATGCCAGAGACTAAAGATCACTCCATGACACATATCTATCTGTTATCATGCTTTTTCAACTGCAGAGAACTGAAGCAATCATTGGTGCCATCAACAATAACGTTCCATGATATACTGATATGGTACTGTACTTTACTTGGCCTGGTGAACGCCTATATCTGCTATATACTATACTGTATGTCCATTGAGTGTATTTTATCTAGGTCCAAGGTGGGAATCTTGGACAATTTCCAGACTTGCAGTCGCGCCAAAGTACCCTACGATCTAATATGTAACAATAATCAACAGTAGTATACGGTAATACATTAGGCGAATCGGTTCATGTTCAAGATGGCGCACAGTAGTTCCATCACTGCGATCAATATGGAAATTGATGCTATCGATGCTCGATGCTTTCTATGTAGATACAGTAGATCTTTGGCAATCATATTTCTATTTACTAATGCACACGAATCGTTATGATGTGTCAATTCTTTGCATACCTATACAGCATTGCTCATCCACTCATGATGACTGCAGTGGACTGCATCAAGACGGAATAAATTGCCTTTCTCACTTCATGGACCGATTTGCAAATGCATCAATGTTATCTAATGACCAGACAGATAAAAATAAAAAGGAAAATAATCCATTGCTATTCAACAAGATCAGATAAGGATTCCTCCATTCAACAATTCTTTATTATCAACAACCAATCAAAGTCTTTACGCCTCTTAAGTTATCTATGTTGGAATGGCCAGCCATCACTGGTCTAGTTTTGTAGGCGTTCCACTTGGGCCGATCAGCACCGCCCCATCGACATAATCGCGCGATCAAAATACGATTGCTTTTAAATTAAAATTAATTAACGACTATATCACCATTTCTGCGACTTGGCGTGATTACAGTAGACCGTGTATACCGAAAGCTGGAACAGACTTGGTTCTGTCAAAGTGCTGTATTTCTACAATTTCCTAGTACTGTCATTACTCTTGTTTGATGAAAATGATGATGTATCCACAAGGTACTGCCGTGAATTACCAATCTAATATGTATCCTGTGGTAGGAAATTCTCCACTATTTCTTGCACCAGCTGAATGCCTAAATTCAGTAGTCGATCCCCATTTGCAGATGGATCAAGCGCAAAGGGATTCGCTTCCATTTGTATCAGGTCAGTCAAAAATTCTAATGCCATTGCCTGATTTGTTGTAGGTCGTTAGAAAAGGCAAATGCTGTCCAACATTTCCAATGTTTACTCATTCAAGTCAATCCATGAGTGATGAGATGATCACGGTTTACTTGTTATGCAGGTGTTCGACCTGTTCATTCTCGTAATAGTAGAAAAAGCGCAGCGCATTCTTATGGATTAATTAATTAATTAATTAATTGTTAAATAAATAAATTAAAAAGACAGAACTTGCTCTAAATTTCATTTCTTCCTTGTTCTGGTATATATGTTATACATACAGATGGAAACTTGTGGCAAAATCGACAAATTCGCAGAGCGGTACCGCCTGAGTACCTTTGTCATCTATGTTTCCAGAAAGGCCACCTCATCAATGACTGCCCTTGGGTAGATCTTCTTTTGTTTTACCTTTCCAAATTAGCAGGAATTGCAAGGTCTTATGCGTTGCTATTAACGATTCTTCTTCTAGGCTCCGCCAAAGAGTAAAGGGCTTACGCCTTATCAAGGCACAAAGAGATGTTTTGGTGAATATGCATGCGCCAATTGCAAGCGTAAATGGATGAGCGGCAATAGTTGGTCCAACGCTGGTCAGACTTGTAAAATATGCGGGGAAAGAGTTTACCCTCATCGACAGAAACCGCTAGACCGATCAGCCTATAGCGGAAGCGAATTTTGTCCCAGGAAAGAACATCCACGCCACTTATGTGAAATGTGTATGCAACTGGGCGATTACTGCCGCAAGAATAAATCGATAGGACAGTAAACGATAGGAACTATAAAACAGCATCAAGCGACGACTCAACGCAGCAAGCCTAATGGTAGTCAACGTATGCTGTATTTTCTAGTTTCCCATTTTTTGCTTTTGATTTGCCTAGCGTTTAGCACTATTCATTGTCTACCTCTACAATATGATATGACTATATATATTTCTTATGCATGCTTAAAAAGAGAATTTGTTACTGTATTGCAATGCCTATGGTTTATTCCGGTTTAAATGGTGAATTTATTGTTAATTCTTAAAATAGTAAAAAGAGGATGGCAAATTGATGCTTTTAAAATCAAACATTGATATGAAACAATTCGAGCATAGTGATGTACCGTGGTAGGGAATGAAAATACGTCTTGATTCTACTATTGTATTACGTGAAAACAAATTGAAGTTTATACTCTGACAAGCGTACATAATGTTAGCCTTGGCAATTTAGTATTTCTACTAGTAAATTTCTTCAGGTAGATTTCTCAAGGTAATAGTTGATTAATTATAGTGCATAAAGATGCAGGTATATCTTTCATCAGTAGGAAGTATATATATAGTCCTTTAATACCATTATTTGAGAAACGCATTTTTCAGAGCTTATTTATTATATTCTCAACTGAACATCCTGTTTACCCTTTGTCGATCGTGTTGTGCGTAATTCCGATTTGAAATATCAATGCATTTACTGGAAATTTATTTCAATTCAATTTTACCTTTGCTGCAATTTTCAGTTATGTAATAAATTGATGCTACAATTGTTAACTGCCCATATTTATATTGGAATATTAGTGCAATGATTTAGTTTTGCTTAGGTATAGAATACCTATCGATGATCATTAAATATTTCATTGAATTACTTAAATTGCGTTTTATACTAGTTTAATAATGCGACATCAAAAGCGACTACGCAGCTGGCTGCGTATGTCAAGTAGGATATCCTTTTTTAAATTGGACTCGCAAAGATTCTTTGCATCAAAAATGATCTTATCTAACTAAAATCGAAGAATACTAACTGGATTATGTCGCAACCAAATTAATTACTTTATCAATCTAAGTATAAAAAGGCTAACCAAGCAATGATAGCAATTGATATGTGTGCTGGCTGCATAGCGAGCAGATGAATTTTCATTCAATAGTTAGTTTTCATATCGCATAGTGAAAAGCGCAATTGTCTAATGTTATATTATAGATTGGACAATGCCGCCGCATCAGTAGAATTGAATGATTTTCTAGTTCCGATTAATTGTAAATTGTTCCTGTGTTCGTCACAAATTGGCGCAATATGGCGTGAGAGACTAACGTTCAATTCTATGCTGATAGCCAAACCAATGTTCATAATGACTAGATAACGCTGTGCAATTACTTAGACTCTATGTTCAACGTGATTTATCAATTCAATACCTTGCAATAGGAGTACAAGAGGTTATTCAAGTCAGACCGACGTCTGATACAGTAAACTTGCCAAGATTAGTCATCATCCAATGTTTGCGAAAGATCCCTAATGAAGTTAATGGCTGTTAACTACTGTATGCGTATATCCGTTTACACGAGCCTGCTATACGATGCCATTCTGTACAACATTTGACACAGAATTTCAATCTAATTTATAGCCTAATATTAGAATAATACGCATAAAAAGCGAAACGACGACAAAACCTTCTATAGAGTAACGCACATTGCTCTACGAAGAATTACGCCAAGCTCAATCATAAGTACTATCGATTTATTGCATTACAAAGTATAATAATTGGATCTTGTAATTCGTGTGATACCTTTTCTGTTGGGTAAGCGAACGACGAATAAAAAAGTGATTATTATTATTATTCTCAATTATAAATTATACGTTTAGATATTGGCCGTAGAACACACACACACACACATCTAGTCTATCGTAGTCGACTAGCCTAAATGTCTTGTTAATCAGTAAGGCATATTGGCAACGGCAGCTGCTAGACTACTATATTTTACTAAAATGACAACTTCCTTTGAAAATAATAATAATATTAATTAATAGACATCCACAAATTGTATGGTCACTTGGTCAGGACTAAGCCTTTTTAGCCATCTCTTTCTGCCAAATACAACAGATTACTCCACCTAGAATAACATTCTTTTACGTAGATATCATTTTCACCCACAAAAGTACATCAATTTTAATCATAAAAAAGATTATCATAAGAATTCCTTGGTATACTGTAGTCTAGGGTATTTTCACATATTCCAACGGAATAGATAGACTGTCTTACAATCCTTGAAATTTTATTTTAGCAAATGAATAAAAATTACCTACCTTGTTAATCGTTGTCGGTAAAGCAAGACATTTAATCAGTAACAGTACTGACAATTCAATCTATGATTAAAATTCCGACATTAAATGATCAAATGAAATCAGAATAAAAATATATATTCCTGTATTATTCTACTTAAGCAAGCATGTGTATCCAATTAATAAAGAAGAATAACTGGTAGTCTCATTCTTAGGCTATCCAATTAAACAATTATTAATTATTGGCGTAACTAGTTATCACCTTACTAAATTTAAATATAACCAGCTTGATTCAGTTTTTTCGAAAAAATTGCCATCAGGGTACCTATGAAATTAATATCATAGACTATCAGCATCTTCTGTATGCTGGATATTATTAAATAGGGTGTAGAATTTCGTATAGGTAATATACTCCATTATGACAATGTTATAATATAATCCATTCTAAATATTAAATTCATATTATCAATTGGGACTGTCTTAAATTTATCGATCGAAATAAATTGTCACCAATGATGTGGCACCGCTCAAGATTGAATGGCCTCAACGGATACAGTACTATCTTGTCTAAGAAAATTAATTAAGATTCCATTAGACGTGTCTATATTTAATGATTGCATTTTCATCCTGGTGTCTACTCTAAAACAAAAGTTAAAATAGTCCTGAAAATGTCCCACACGTCGAATACGGATGAAATCATGACTTTAACTCAACATATCTCAAGCAAAGCTTTCATAATTTTGATGGTAACTATGCATCAATTGAAAGATAGAATAATATCACCTTATCATTACTGTATCGTTATTCCATATTATGTATATGGAGAATTAATTGAACGGTGGGTCTTGCATTCTTTAAAGAATAAAAATTAAATACGCAAATTACCATTATGGACTTTGATATTGTCAAGGGATACCGACGTCATTAGGATGTTATGGTATTATCAATAACTTAAATTTCCTTCTATAATTTGTAATTTAATTTTTCAATTAATATCAATAAAATAGTTGACACTCTTTCATGTTAAGAATACTTTATTTATTATTGAGGACATTTTTTTATATCATTGCTGGCTGGTTAGAGAGGGAACTATCACGAACTAGCGGTTACGCAAATGGTCGGCAGATTGAGCATAATTCAAAGAATAAAAATACAATTAGATTATTTCTTATCGTAAATTGACTCCATTTCTCTATCGCGGAGATAGAAAGCATTTTAAACATTAACCAATTGGCATAGGTATCGATCTCTTTGCAAATAATGCAAACTATCATCAGTGATACTCAATTTTAGTTTATACTCGTATACTAATAGATAGTTATAAATCATACGTGGATTAAAATGCATACAATCTTCATCTATCACCATCATTAATTCATACGATAAAAATATAGCGTCAGAAAAGCAATATAATAGTAATTTTAATTCAATTTTATCATGATTGATGATATCGTTATCCTATATGATAGGAGAAATGAAAAAGACTGTACGTTGATTTATAGGCTATAAAAAAATTGTCATGGTTAATTATCGTCAGTAGATTAAATATCCAACTTTAATTGTTATATCATCATTGTATAGTTGTCTTAAGACAAGGACAAGTAGGAATGCAATATGACGTCAAATATCAAGTGACAAAAGTAAAAGAACGATAAATGGTCAATTTTAGTATGAAGGTTGAGTTTGATTTAAAATTTGGGGGGATATCTCAATATCATGCCTATCGATATGGACCTAAACCTCTATTCAAGCATAGCTAGTTATTCTACGAGTATGGATAGGTCTACTTTTAGTGTAATTACTATCATGAAGATGAAAACTGATAAGTAACGAAAACAATTAATCATCATCTTGACAATTTTAAAACTATAGTATTGGAATTGACATCATTCAACCGGATGTCTTGGCCGAAGGTAACCGGAATTATTGGGTATTGATTCGATTAAATAGATTTGCTTTTCAATCTGTCATTGATTTGATTAATTTAAACAAAATAAAAAAAAAATGATTGCTATATCAATATTAGCTCTGGGTAATAACAAAAGCATAGAAGAATAAAAGTGGATTCCTTTCTCAAAACATTCAATTTAAATTACTAGGTAAATCCTATTCATTATTCAAACCCATTTATTTCTCACCTTTTCAATTGGCCATCCATTATGAGTAAAATAGATGATTTGTCTTGTATCATCACAAGTTTAAATTATGCTACAAAAAAAATGGAAAAACCATTGCCGATGATCACGTATACCATTTATTTTATTTATTTTTATTATTTCAATGCAGCGAATTAAAAGGCAAAATGCATGTGAAGAAAAAACTCAGCACAACATTTTCTGGTACTTACCAGAGAAAACTTAATTATGACTGATCGCATGGCAGACGGTGTGAAATATCGTCGGTTTCGTAGACTATACTAAAATCAATGTTGTTATAATAAATGACGAGAATACCTAATGTTAGGGTATTTTATTTCTTACAAGTTTAAAAATTCTAATGCGAAAAAAATAATATGAATTTTTTTATTGAATATTATAACTAAACAATCGTACCAAAGTCAATTAATAAGCAAGAGTTGAAAGGCTCTCATTTGCAATCAATGGTATTTAGACTTGAATTGCGATAGGTTTAGAACTGATAGTTTATCCATTTATAATTTCCAATAATAGTTATTCTTATTTTATTACTCTTTCTAATTATAATAGCAATAATGTTTTTTTAGAACAAAAATAATCATTTCAAAATAATATTGAAAGAATTAAAATTAATCAGTAAAAATAATGATAACAAAAAATAGTGATGGCGTTTTTACATCTCCAGTAGCTTCTTCCCCTTCATCTGCCTTCATCGATGAGCTATTTTTTACCTTGACTAATTTACAATTTCAAGTAGCATTACAATTTTATTCTATTATATACTTTAACAACGATAGCGAACATAAGACTGCTAGATAGAAAATAAATAAATATATTCATGTTAATTAATCGAAAGTAAATGAAGTAGCATTACATTAAATTAATACTGAAAGTAATTGCATACATTTTAATCTATTTACAAGTTACTATCAAATAAGAATAATTATATCATCGGTAGATTGCTTTACAACTTGATAAGATTGTAAATCTATCAGGCTTTAATAATCAATTAATTAATTAATAATTCAAGTCATGATCATTTAATCTTCAATCTTTTAAGCTATTTTTTTTCTTATGTTAGCAACGATAGTACTGGAATGATAAATTATCTGACTAACCATCAGAAATTGCTTATCCACAACTATTGGTTTTATTATCATCAATTATTTTCGAATACTATGGACTAGTTTTACCCATCTTTTAGATCAGTGCTTTACCTTACTCGATAAATGACAGCAACACCCAGTTATCGTATTATCAATTCGTAGGCGAACTGCCTGTACAATGCAGGAAATGCAATGATTGCCATTGATTAACTTACTCTCCATATATGAAGTACAGTTAAGCGGTCAGATGGAATAAACGATAGAAGGCGAGAAAGAACAAATGAAAATATAGAATTAAAAAAAATATTAAAGATCAAAAAAATTAACAAATTAAATTGGATAACAAAAATTGATTTATCAATAGTGATAAAATACTAATTTTTATTTTTTTATTTTTTCTATCAACATGTAAATCAATATAAAAAATAATTATAATCAATCTTCATCTTCGTCCTGTAACCGATTTCAACATGGGTACATCCCTTTCAACTGGACTAATGTGAAAAGTAGCCAACGTCAAATGATTGTGAACACATCATATCATCAAATAACGTATAGGATTTTTATTTCCTCTCTTCCCTTTTTTCATCATTGAATAACAATTAAAAAATATCAATAGCATAGCATTGATTCTTGGTCACGCTTTCAACACGGTAAACAGGAAATAAAGTACTCATTTGAATAAGAATTTTAAAGTCAGACAGTAAGAAGTAAAAAATAAAGATTGTACATCCATCACTGCTTCCATCTCCAAGCTATACATTAACCTGCAGTCATCTTAACAATAGTAGCTTTATTGATCGTCCATCAATCCATTTTTCTAATTTATGCCATGGAAATTGTTTGTTCAATGCAGAGAAATGATCTTCATATAAGAATGATCGCCATCTACACGATATATTAATAGCGATAAGAAATTGATTGAAAGAGGTTGTTTCCTGAATTTTTTTCTCCTATTTATATTTAGATCAAGAAGCTATCGGTAATTGATTCATGATTGCTTTAAATACGATCTATTTGCAATTTGATGATTATTTTTTCCACCTAGGTTATTTATTGATGATAACTTATTATTATTATTTACGCCTGCAATTAAGGTATATCAAGCCTGAAGTATTGGAATTTGAATTGTTACTTCTACTCCGGTTGACTTAGATCTTTGGTACTCTTTTAATTAATCCTCATCTCGTTGTGTAATTGAAATTACAGTAGGCGATATAGACTTCAGATTAATTTCTCTTATCCACCAGATCTAAATCAACTAGTAAAATCCAATACAAGTTATGTCTCAAGCTGTAACTTTAGCACATTTCGATAAATTCTTAGATACCACACCAATCAATCGTTCATACTATGATGATTGGGTATCTTGCTGCTATCAACTTCAATTACTCTTGAAGCAAACGAGCTTGAAAACTATTCCACTCATTTCGGTATATCAACGCTTAACTAACCTGATCGAAAAATGGCCTAACCTTTGGCCAGCAACTCCAACACCACCATCTTGGGATAATTTTCACATGGCCATTGGTAGTACTGACTTTAAATCTTGCCATCATCAGCTACAAGCAATACTAGCTGAAATTACCAATCATATCAATGTATTAGATCATGAAAAAGATCATGTCAAGAAGAATAATAGAGACAATCACCATCATCATCATTTACTACTTTTGACATCATTAACTACTTCGATATCACAATTACTTCAATGTACCGATCTTACATCATCGATTCCATCTTATATTAATAGCAGTAATGTAAGTGTTAATTTACGCGCTATACTAGAGGTAATGTTCTCAATTGTAGCTAATTCAACACCTAACCGTCATTTACCCAATCAAAAAATTGCAGAACAAATAAAAACTTGTATTACTAATCGATCACATTTTCAACTGCAAAGTAAAGTGGATGATCGGCATGATCAAGCAACAACAGCTGAAAATTCATCATCAACAACATTAAAAGACGAGACTGAGACTGATGATGGTGACAATAGTGGACGTATTGGTAAGAAAATATCCTTTAGTATCAACAGTATCATCAATTCAAATTGCATTGAACAACAGAAGCAATACGATTTACGTTGCCAAGATCAGCCTCAATTACTATCGCTTCATCCATCTTCAAACTCATCACCATCCCTATCTATGGCATCATCAACTTCATCATCTTCTTTACGCCAATCGCATTTGGTAGCATTATCGGTTCCTGCGAATAATCAAAATCAAATTATCAGCTACCATTATCCAAACAAATTACCTCATGACCCTCACCCATCGCCCCATCATCGCCATTCTAATTGTTTGCCATCATCATCACCACCTTCAGCTTTACATCATGCACCTAATTCTGACTTATATTCAGCACGATTACATCCATTAGGTCAAGTAATAACAACAGCAGTAAGTACAACAGTGTCTACAACTCCAGCAGCGACGATAGCAGCAACACCTACTGGTGGAGTTGCCAATTACTTCCAAGATGAATTTTGGAATGCTTCAAAACATACCACTAACAATATGGACATGACATTATCACCTCCATCAACAGCACCATTAATCGGTCGACACGGTATCCATCCAAGTTTCTTTAGTTCAACATTTCAATCTAATGGACAAGATATGATGACTGCAGTGTTTGATAACAACAAAATCTACCGTTGCCATCAATGCTTGCGTTTATGTAGTAGTCCAGCTGAATTAAAACGCCATACTAAATCCCATCATCAAACTAATGAACGATTACGTTTTTGTTGTTCTCATTGTAACAAACGCTTTGCGCAATCATCGCATTTACAGCAACATTTACGCGTTCATACTGGCGTACGACCATTTAAATGTCGTTTTTGCTCCAAATCTTTCGCACAGTCGACCCATCTACAACAACACATTAAAATGCATACAGGCGATAAACCATTTCGCTGCAATTTTTGCGAGAAGCATTTCTCTCAGTTATCCCATTTACAAAAGCATACCCGAGTTCATACAGGTGAAAAGCCGTATAAATGTATTTATTGCTTTAAAAGTTTCTCTCAATCATCCAATCTGCAGAAGCATTTACGCGTCCACACAGGTATAAAACCATACAAGTGCACTTACTGCTCTAAGAGTTTTACCCAATCACCTAATTTGCAAAAGCATATCCGAATTCATACCGGAGAACGTCCCTATACATGCCATTTATGCTCGAAATCATTTAGTCAGTCATCATCTTTACAGCAACATTTAAAGCTACACGACTGATTAATGAATTGGCGATCATCAATATCGTATCCTTTAAGTTTATTCTTTCCTGAATTAGATAATTTAAAGACTAAACTTAGCATTTTTGTTGTTCAATTTTTCGCGATAATAGTTCCTTTTAATCACATATTTGAAATGCAAAAAGGTATACGTAGATGCCATCCAATTTCAAAATTTTTTTGCTCTATCATTAGCTGTATCTTACTAAATTATGATCATTGTATGCATTTCAATTGCCTATCAAATCATTAGGTTAACCAGTCTATATGATTAGGTTAAGAATTGGCAAATGTCCACTGTTTCTTTCTGCCTTTAAAAACTGTTCATCATTTTCATGATGTCAGTATTACGACATCTGTTAAATTGACTATCCTTCTACGTAGTCTCGTAAAGCTTAGCCAAATATGAATAAGGACACTAAATATTGATGAAATTCTTAATGAACTTTTTAAATCTTTAATTGGACCATATTATATGGTGTCAAATTTATCAATTCTTTCTCCTGGATGAAATCGAAATATCCTTAATGTAATATAGAATCCTTCTCCCGTATGCCTGTTATTATTACTGCAATTCAGTGATTATTTATGATGTTAATGATATTGATTTTATCCCTTGCCTTATACCTAATTAATGGTCACCCTTTTTCCCAGAAAATTTACGCAACTCAATTCATCTGGATCCTTTTGTTGTAAAAAAATGATTTTATCTATCGATATGGCAAGATTATATATTAGTTAAACCACTTTGACAATATCTCCATCTTAATTTTAAGTACTTTTCCTATGCAAATCCGTTAACTAATAATTGATTAAATTATGATGATTTGATTTCTTTCTCATTTTAACTATATACCATCTGATATCTAATAAAAAAGTGTTACAGCATATTTCTGGTCTCAAATTAATAATTTCTTATCGGTCTCTCAAAGAATTCTTCATGTTGCCTTTCATACTGTAACAATCTTAGAACTAAAGTCGAGACTTTTCAGTTTTGGTAGTTGCTATTAATTAGTAATGTATAATAGAATTTTTATTATAATGAGCTTACGCCATAATTTTATGATTGTTATTCCTGCCTTAGTAAGTTAATTTTTTCGTCTTTATCCGATTGAACGGATATTCTCTTCGGCAATACCATATTATCCCGCTATAGTAATTTTCAAACTGGTTTCCCAACACAAGTATAGGAAAATCCTCTAGATTTGCCATAAGTAGGAGTAGTAACGCAAATAATCGCTTCGACTTCCAACCCTAAAATTGCGATATATTACTACCTATCGTGCATCTACCGGTCAAAGCTCATAAGTACTATTAGCATACGGTATTCATTTGTCTTAGAAGTACATAGATAAATGCGCATTATTTTAACGTACCATATACAAACAATCTTTGTTCTGATCTAGTAATTTGTGAAGTAGTACAAGTATCTACGATTTTACGGTTATTTCTTATCTCCTTTTTACTGGTACTATAAAAGCAATACAGTAAATAAAAATAGATAAATTAAAAGGAAATTTATCGATGACTTTCAAAAAGGATTAAAGTATAGCTATGAGGACGTCAGTTGCATTTATTGTGTCTAGTTTCGAAGTGAATTGAGCTAACATTTTATAACTATTTATAATAAAATTAATATACTCAGTTATTAGCTAGGCCACTTGGCAAATTCAAGAGCCCACAATAAAACAAGAGAATAAGTGGGAGATGTGAAAATGCTAAAAGAACCATAGCAACAGGGGGACAATTTGATTCGTTTTGGATTGGCGCGGTGCATGAATGCGATAATTCCGCGAAAGAATAAAAAGGTATCTTAGCATAAAGCTATACTACAGTAGTATTCGTATACTGATATCCATCGCTATATTCTCAAATATTTCATTTAGAAAGGCTTTATCTGTCATATACTCTGTAATAGTATACCAGTGGAGTTATGCTGGGAGCAAAGGGCTTTGAAGTATAGAATAATGCGTATAATAAAGGTGGGAAATATAGTAATCATTAATATATAAGTACCTCATGTTATCATTTCTATTAAAAGTACAACAATAAATATGAATTGTGTCTATCAAATCATCTAAACTGTGCCTGCCAAAGTAAGATGATGTTGCAATTTCAAGCTGTTGATGTTTTTAATACAACCCTTTGACATGCATAGTGGAAGAAATCTGAAGAACTACGATAACCACTTAAAACGCGATATTAAAAATAATATTATACCAACTTTTTGCTTAAAGTAATAAGTGGAATTGGGTAATAATCAGATAAGATTACGTTAATTCAAACAATTTTCACCTTTTCTTTATTCCATCATGGATAGAATTGAATTAGAGTGATATAGTCTAAAAATTGGATATATAATAAAATAAATAATGATGCTCATCTTCCATTTCAATGATTTTAATTATTAATCCGGCTAGCGGTAGCATTTCGTTCATCTGCTTTCAGATATCTATTCGCTGCTATAAAGATACGCATACATATTAATATTGTCATAAATTAATATTTAAAAGAAATTATGCAAACAAAGCTATTTAACCTTAAATAGATAATTTTGTAGTTATAAAACCTTTATTTCATTAGGTACGACAATCTGCATATATAGTAGTGGAAGTGAAAGTTTAAGGAGTCACTGCAAGAGAGTTACAATGACATCAGAGCATTACATTATGACACAGATGATTGAAATAAATTCAATAATAAAAAAGCCAGATGTATTATATCGCATTTGATATTTGCCGTTGTAATACAATCGATATTAGAATTATAAAGAAGCCTAGCGCGATTATTGAAATAACATTAATCGACGGCAAGCTAACGAGAAAATTTTATTTTATCCAATTGCCAAGTTTAATAGGTAAATGATTCACAGTTTAAGGCTTGTTTATAAGATAAATTATAATTGGAATTAAACTTGGTCTATAACTCTAAAAATTATGATTCAGTATCGCGATTTATTCTATAACCTCAAATTTTGATTACTATACGTACAATTATACTAGTATTATTGTTAACTTAGAAATACCTTTCTATTTTCTATCCCTTTTTATGCTTTATCGATATGACTACATATCTTAAATTTCCCTTTTATTTAATTAGAGCTGAATAGTTAATTAAAAGGGGAATTATAATGATTTATTGAACTAGCCGATAATAATGAATTTTATATTTCTGGCGTTGAATTCCTTGTTCGTTATTCCTTAGCTTTACTTCCTAGTGTGTACGCAGATATATGTCTACGTTATCATTCTAACGTATTGATGATAATGTAGTGCTTGATACAAAGAGTTGCATGAGATATTATAGTATAACCTTAACATAACTTTAAGTAGGCAGAGAATGTGTAAATGAAGGCAAAGAAAGGCGGTCAATACCTGTAGAATTAGGACCATTATTTGTTTCTATCAATACGAGCAGTTGGTGTTTTTTTCACAAAGCACTATCGCCTATGCATTACTTTTAAATTAAAGTAAAAAAAGAACAATATTATCTTTAAATTAATTCTATTCTTAGAAATGAGCAGAAAAAATTTGAAGTGGTTCTGTATTGTTCATAAACTGCTAATAATCGTCTTAAACCCAAATTATTCTAGAAATATACACTAGTAGAATTTTGAATAGACGGGTAAAATGAATCACATTCTGTCCTAACAGCGAATTGCCTTACAAAAAATTTTGTTTTTATTAATAATTAATCAACCATTCATACGTCTCTTTACTTTTTACAGGAAATTTTCGGCCAAAATAAATAGAACTATTATGACGCAATTTTTTTATTAATTGCTCTAAAGATTATAAAACAATTAGAGTTGGTTCAGTAAGGATTATAATGTGCCAGGAAATAAAAATTTTAAGTGGTAAATGCACACATTCCATATTATAGTGCTTAAATTGTATGTAGAGGTCTACATAAGATCAATTAGGTCTATTGGTTGAAAATGGTAAGTAGATATGGCATTTCTAATTTTCTTTTTTAATCAATCATTCCATATTCTACCACCTTATACGAATAGAGGATTGTAATCATTTGAGAATACTAAAGCCGTTTTATGAAAAGCTACTTTAATTTAAATATGGGCTAAATCTAATGTTTACGTAGTATTCAGTATTTTTCTCAACAAGGACGATTTCTTGTTTTCAATTGCAATTGTTATGGTATTGTCTTCGGTATCCATTGGAACGTCAATTTTCTTTCATTTCTAAAAGCTTTCTTCTTTCTTTAGTCATTTCATTTCTAATGTTATTTTAACTACGTTATTAGTCATTAAATACTCAGCATGTATAAATCTACCGACGAGTGTCTAAATAAAAAAATATAGAGAGAATAATATTTGTTATGGAACAGAAATAATAATGCCCGTCTTTTATTGTTAATTATTTCAAGAACAACGAGTAATGAAAGATATTATAGTTGGCATGGTCTCAATGCTTTTAACAGGATATCTATACTAGTTTTTGGACGAAGTAATTGATTTGGGAAGGATGATACTATTATAGTTGCAGTAGTTTCACTCAAGCTTAACGAATTTATTGAGACACACCCTTAGAATATAGCTCTATTGCTTCAAGCTTATTAATATCGCTAGATAGATGTTGTAATTTAAAAGCTGAATTTCCAGTAAATAGTATTCCAGTAAAATGTACATTGTAAATACTATTAACCTCTTGTCTATTCGAGATTAATAGCCTAGGAATTAATTAAAGTTTTGCTGCCTGGACAAAGGCCTATATTTGAAGAGATCTTATATTAATATAACATTACATTAATATACTGTATATTAATTTATAATCAATCTAGAAATATATAGTAGTATGATTTACTTAGAGATATTAATGCACCAGCTGACAAGGAATGTCTTAAGAGTGCACAAATAATTATAATCAACATCATACCTTAAAATTGACTCGTAATTCATTGATATGCATACTATCGAGCTTTAATAAGATTAATGTCACGCCATTTATGTTTACGATAAGCTTGGATGATGTTACTGAAGGCAAT